CAATTTCATACTTCTTTAAATCTATATCGATAAAGACGACCTGACCCTTCAACATAATTAATTCGTGTTTATTTCTTTCATAGTTTAGACGAACTTAAACTCCCTGTTAGCAAATAATTTTAGTTAACTTAACGACGAACCGTTTAAGCTTAACAATGTCAGAGGCAGATTTTTGTTAAAAACAACAAAATTGTTGTTTTTTACATTAAAACACTGTTCTGAATGTCAGAGGCGAATTTTTGTTAAAAAAAAAACAAAATTGTTGTTTTTTTATATTAAAACATCGTTCCAAATGTCAGAGGCGGATTTTTGTTAAAAAATACAACAAAATTGTTGTTTTTTTAATATTAAATGCCGTTCCAAATGTCAGAGGCGGATTTTTGTTAAAAAAAACAAAAAAATTATTGTTTTTTTAACATTAAAACGCCGTTTTGAACGTCAGAGGCAGATTTTTGTTAAAAATTTTTTTGATCTGTCGAATACGAATACAGATTCAGATTTGTTGGATTCAGATCAAATCAGATTTTGCCCAAATCTGATCCGATCAGATCCGTGTGGAACACTAATTAAGTATAAATATACTATCAAATATTTTTATTTGTTTATTTAATTTATAATATTCATATTATAGTTCTTTTTTTTATTATATTATTATTATATCCTTTTGACATTTATCTTTTTTCTCTTTTTTAATAGGTTAGAATTTTTATTTTTAATTTTAATTTAAGCAAGTTTATCAAATTTATGTTATAAAAATGAATAGCATGATTCAAATTTATATACTTTAGGTTAGGGTTACAATACATTAGACTGATATGTATAAATTGATTTCTAGAATGATCATTATCCTAAGAATTATTGGATGCAATAGACGTAAAATTTAATAATAATATTCTTATTCAAGATCTTATTGGAAGAAACATTAATGTCAGTAGATCTATGTAATAAATCTTTATTATTTACACCTGCTGATTATATGCAAAATATAGTAAATTTTTATACTATATAAATAACTATAAATCAAATATAAATCTGAAAGAATGCATCATATTCAATCAAAATAGAATAAAAAAACTGGATCAATATTTTTTTTCAAATTCATTTTCTTCTTTGCAGCAAGGTGAATATCAATCATTTTTGTGGCAGGTTGTTAAAGGTTAGTTCATTTGGTAAATTTAGAAGAAAAGAAACTAATTATAAAAAATTAAGACAAATAAAGGAATAAACAATATCTTGACATACCATCCATAGCATCCTCAAATTCTGCAACAGTTCCATCGTATTCTACACTTCATATTAAATGTCTAGTCAGAGATTCCTTTGACGTTACACTTCAATAATCTTCAAGAATCCATAAAACATTACACATTATGTCCTATTCAAATGCACAACCGTAGTAATTTAGAATAAAGAATTCTAGCGTAACATTCTCCAATGATAATACCATTTAACAATTTTCATATAATGTATACAAATAGAAAATCCCACCTCCATCATAGTCAAAATAATTTGTAAATACGATCTTTTTTATTTGTGATTATTTAACTAACATAAGCAGATTTTTTGGAATTGGAATGTTGCGATCTTCTTGAAATTCAAACTCTTGCTTCGATAGGTAGAACATTGTATTCCACAAGATGACAAAGTATCTTTGGCTTCTCCTTCGTCTATGCATTGCCAGCCAAGACACCGATTCAACGCAGTTGACTAAGGAGAGTTGTATTGATCGGATTCTTTCCTGGTTTGAGCAAAATTCAAATGTAATATCAAAATAATTCTTACTCTTAACATTGCTATTAATTTGTTGCTTTTGTGTAGAATATTTTTCATTATTGTTCTTGATTGTATGTCATTGCGAACTGAGTAATATAAAGTTCATGATTTTCCCTTGTTTCGCTGATGCCGTTACATTTACTATTGTTAGGTGACCCAAATCCATAATCGTAATTTTATTTGCCAAGATAATTAGCATTCTGGAAAGATACTTTTTTCTTATCCTAAAGCTCTATTTCCTTGTGAGACTCCTTTCTATTACATAGATTGTCCAATATTTTCATTAGCTATACCACTATTTCAAAATATTTCAAATAATAAAATATCTGAAAGGTTCTACGAACTCTCTTATCAACTGTCTATTCATTTTTCTTGTTTTATGTTGTCTAGCCAAGACCATGAGTGTAAACTTGAAAAGAGAAGCTGTTAATACAAAAGTAGCGAGATGTGTAACTGTACTGGTTTTCAAACCTACTTGTTTCTCATTAAAGTCTATACCTGATTCGGTACTGACTCATCTTATTAATATGAAATTTATACAAGTTCGATGCAGTATTGGGTATTCACATGTGGGAATTGGTGATTCTACATTTATTAATATGGGCATATCAGAGGTACCAGATTTAAATTAAACATCATATTTAATAAAGTGTTAAACACACATTAAGCAATCATCAACCCTTTAGATTTTCGTCAAACATATTTTTTTAATTTAAACCTACTGAGACATGTCATTTGACATCGGTATTGTTACAAATTTACAAATTTTAGACGTCATAGTCATTCTTTGCAAATATATTGTGGTAAATTTTGCAAATGGATCATAAATAATATTAAATAAATGAAATTTGATTTCATTCATGATTTCACAACCTATTTCTTAGCTAATTTCCGAAATTTCAAGTAGAAAAAATGACAATGTAATCCAATTAAAATATACGAAAACATTTTTGTTTAACACATACATAGACAATTACCATTAAGTTTTACTAGAAAGGTAATTAAAGCCCATGTACTTAAAGTCAATTCGTGGTATAAAGTGTAGATTTCATGGATAAATTGCATAATCAACTTTAACGTAAATTTTGAAAATCCTAAGTGGGCAAAAAATGTTATGGTCATAAAAATCAACCCAAATACATGGCGTGACATAGTGTGACAAATTGTGCATATCACGGGGGGTGGAAAATCTTGGGGTGATACTGGGTACGGTCAGGTGAACTGTATAATTTGTATAATTATCGTTCCATGATATATAATTGGTTGTTTATATGTATACCCATGGATTGTCATCTATGTTTATCCTCTGAAAATTTCCCAATGATATGATATTATTGGATAATAAAGATCATGAATAATTTTGAATCCCACAATTTCACATTTTTTCATATTTTTTATAAAATTGTATAGTTTCAATTTAAATTTCTTTATCCTCAATGAAGGACCTGGGCAGTAATTGTTGGATAAATGGTAACTAAACTCCCTCTTATATTAGATTTACCTGTTTTAAGGTGTCGTAAACCTTTTTATAATTTTCTTTTTTTCCTGTCTTCAAAAATTAGTTCACAATAACGCCAACTCACCAAATACTCAAGGAGTATTAATACAACATCAACGCAAAGTCACCAACTCAAAACAGCCACGAATCAACACATACTCAGAAGTATTAATACAACACCAACTCAAAGTCACTAACTCAAAACAGACACCCGAATCAACACAACACATCACATACAGCACCAATTCAAAGTCACATAGAGGTTGGAACCGGTTGATTTTTAACCGGTTAGACGTTTATCTTTTTAACCGGTTAAAGTTTTTTCTGGTCGAAATATAATTTTCGGGCAGATTAAAATTTTTTTACAATGCAAAATTTCACTAGTTTTGCCCAAATTTATAGTGCCGGCCTGAGTTAAATTTAACCGGTTAATTAACCGATTAAAGAATTTGTTACCGGTTATTATCCGGCTAAGGATTTTGGGCCGGTTCTAACCTCTAAAGTCACCAACTAAAACAGCCACCCGAATCAACACAACTCAAGGAGTATTAATACAACACTAACTACCCTCAAAACAGCTAACACGTACTCAAGGAGTATACCAACTCAAAATCACCAACTCAACACATACTCAAGGATAATTACTATAACACCAACTCAAAGTACCCAACTCAAAACAGCCACCCATCAAGGAGTATCAACTTGAAGATTAATTAATATTCGTAACAGCAACCCGCAGCAACACCAATTAATATCCATAATAGGGAAAACTTGGCCGGGAGCGAAGTCTAAATTTTTATTAAACTGAACGAACTAGGACAACAATATAATATAAATGATTACAAGAACTTACAATGAAACTTTTAATGATAGAAATTATGGAGAATTTAAAAGAATGATGAGAAGATGAGAATAGTATAAAGGTATATATATAAAAATCCATTTATTTACAATGTAGAATTGTAAATGGAAGTAGTGTCAATAGTTGTTTTTAAAAAAAAGTGAGAAAATTCTCTTAAACTACATAATCACTTCTAAAAATAACATCATGGCATGCAGATTAATATTTTATCAAAAATGATCCCTGTTTTATCAGCTACTTGATAACCTTTACCCTTTATATGTATTAGTATGATTTGAAAAATCCAGATAGCTATAACCCGGGGTAGAATTATATATGACAAAATTTAATTTTGTTATCCTCGCTAGATAACATACTAATTAATGTCTTTCATTTTATTTTAAAATTAGAATCAAAAAAAAAACGACATGAATGGTATCAAAACGAAGATAAAAGAATTAACCATCAAAAATTTCAAAGAAAGAACAGAATTATTAAATGGATGACAATTTGCAATAATATCATTCGTTATATGTATAATTGTTTCTATTTTTTACAAAAAATATGTTTTTTATTATTTAATTTTTTTCGCAATAAAAAAAAAAAATATTTTATTATTATGACAGTACACGGGGGTGTCGGTTTCAAACAATTTATTAATTTTCATATGATTAATATAGTTCCGCAGCATGATTTCAGCGAACTAACCCAATTATTTTTTAAAGATGATATTTCAAAAATAAAAATTTTTTTACAAAAAGAAAGTTTTTGAATAAATTTACTAAAATAAATTGGTCTAAAGTTCATTATATCTCAATTTTATAAAATGCTGCTACTTTTTTTTCATTTAACTCATATTTCGCAGTGTTTTTTAATAATAAAGATATAAATAAAATTGATAAAAAAAAAAGAAAGAAAAAACCTCTCAAGAAGATATTATGAATGTTATGGAGTTTATTTAACTTTTAACAAGAGAATTAATCAAGGTGTCGAAATATTTCGAAGGGAAAAACGGAATTCCTCAAAAGAGTAGTATGACTGCAGTTTTTTCAAGCCAAGAAACTTTCGATTTGATTATAGTATCTCCCTAAATCAACTTACTGTAAGTAGGTCCGTGATTGATTTGAGTCTTCGTAATTGCAAATATTAAAAAAATTTCTCTCACATAACCAGTGAATAAAGTTCGTTTGCGTAATTTGCAAATTTTCATGCAATTTTTATTTGCCCATTGATTTCTGGTTTATGCAAAATTTAAGATATTGAAATATAAAATTTTTTTATATTGCGCAAGATTTTTTACTGCGCATTTGCGCTATTAAATATTTTATTTACTGCTCATAACCAGTAATATTATATGGGAGGTTTGCTAGGAAAATGGGGCTCTGAGCATTTTTTATTAAAATTTAATTTTTATTGCATTTTAATTTTTGATAATGTTAGATTAAAATGCAATAAATCTTAAAATTTTAATAAAAAATGCTCAGAGCCCCATTTTCCTAGCAAACCTCCCATATCTTACATTTGTATAACTTGCGAGGCAACCGAACCGACTGTGAAAAATAAACTGGCCCTCAATATTTACATTGTCTTAACTACACAAAGAAATGCAATTATTTTAAAATCAAGGGTGCTAGTTTATGCCTCATCTCATATAAATTAAGGATGAAAACTAATTAAGCATAAAAAATTATAGATAAAAGTTTCCCCCAAAAATAAATTTTAATACGAAAATTAAATATTTTTTTTTTTTTTTAAAAAAATAAAAAAATAAAAAATAAAAAAAATAAAAGACTCAAGATTACTTCCTTTACCATAAAAACGATCGGCTTTCGACCAATGTACAATTGCTTTCAAACTTTAAATAGGGCTAGCTTGTTGGCATATAGTAAAATGATATGTTGACATTAATTACAGCAAATTCTGAAGAAAACAACAGCAAATTTATTATTTTTGATCATAAAATTATTAGTTCGCTTGCAAAAAAATTTTGTTTCTTTTGTTTTGAAAAAAAATCTGATAAAAGATCTTTTGAAAATAATTTATTTGTACAAATACTATGCTCGTCTTATAACCTATCAAAGAGTTACAATACGTAACCTTTCGTGGGCGTCGCAGGTATTCGAAAGCTACGCAGCGTAAACACTTAAATTCGTGATGTAATGGATAATCTGAAGAGAATTCACTTCAGCAGGTCTCATGCTAAGCATCGTGAATTTAAACAACGTAACTCTTTCTCACGAGATATAATGATCGATCAAGTCATCGTTTATTGAAGAAATTCATTATAATCCATCAATTGAAAAGAGTCTCATGAAGGGTAACACATGCTAATATCGAAATTTGCATTTTAAGATTGGGTAGATATAATGTTCCTTTGAAATTAATAATACACTGAATCGATGACTGTGCAGCCAGCCACAATGTTATGTTATACGATCATTGTTTCACAAATATAAATTCAAAAATTTTATTGGTTTGAAATCAAGTGTATGTTACTTACCGAACAATATTAAAGATATTTTACATGATCTACCAAGTGCATTTCTTGTCTTTTCTCCAAAATTTTATAATTTTTCTCACTATAAAATAAAACAAACTGCCAATAATTCAAATGAGTTAATTAATTGGATTGAAGAATCTATTTTAAGAGAAAATATTAAATCCTTCGAATATAAACATTTTAACAATTTTCAAAAGATAGGTACAGGCAACTTTGGAAATGTTTACCGTGCAAATTGGAAAAGTTCGATGCAACATCTAGCATTAAAATCATTTCATAACCTTAACCATGCCACTGTTAAAGAACTTGTTCGAGAGGTAATTCAAATCAAATATAATATGTTTCAGTCTATTTGGATTTATTCAATATAAACTTTATCAAGCTAAAATTTATTAATAATTATTTAGTTTGAATTTCAAAGAGAAATTAATTTTCATAGCAATATCATCAGACTTCTGGGGATTACATCATCAAACCACGGTATACATTTTTACATAATGACGTTAATTTCGCTTTTTTATTTGCTTTTATTTAACTATTTATATTTATCTATTTTTTTCTTTTCAAAAAAATAAAAACATAAATATATAATTTAGAAAATCAAAATGTATTAAAAAATTGTTGTTTAGTAATGGAATATGCTGACGGAGGTGCACTTAGAAATTATTTGAAGGAGAATTTTGATAAGCTCTCTTGGGGAGATAAATATAATTTGGCATTCCAATTGGCTTGTGCTGTATCGTGTTTACATGACGAAGGAATTGTACATCGTGATTTGGTAACCTTTTAAATAATTTTGTTTTGTTTGTCATGAACAATTCTTTTCAGTATTAATAATAATTTTTTTTTTATATGGATAGCATTCAGGAAATATATTAATCCATCAAGGCGGCATTAAACTAGCAGACTTTGGTTTATCAAAAAGGATTGAAGCAGCAACTTATCAGGCCAAAGTTTTTGGTGGTGTTATTCCTTACATTGACCCTAAAAGTTTTATTAGAGAAAGAAAAAATGACAATGCATCGCAACAATATAAACTAAACGAAAAAAGTGACGTTTATAGTGTTGGCGTGCTCTTGTGGGAGCTGTCAAGTGGAAGTCCACCTTTTCATGTTAAAGATGAAATGTACGACATTAGTTTGGCCATAGAAATTGCACAAGGACTTAGAGAAAGTATTGTTCCTGGTACATCCGAAGATTATGTAAAACTTTATACTGGTAAATATATTATCATTACATTTAATTAAAAATGTAAATTTTATACTTACGTGCTTTAAATTTTTTTTATATTGATTTTAGATTGTTGGGATAATGAGCCAGATAATCGTCCGTCTATGAACAGAGTGGTTGATGAATTAAATGCAATTATTGCAAAAACAAATATAGATGGTTATGGTCAATTGAAAAATAATGAATCCAAAATACAATTAGATGAGCAACTAATTTACTTGAATAGCGTTAATGCTTCTTCCAGTATCAGAAATTTATTTCATGGGGAATTATCTCAAATGATTCAAAATTTTAATCGTATGAATGCAGAAGAATTAGACTCGAATGATGAAGCACAAAATGATGAAGCACCAGACATTATTCACGATGATACCATTTTTAGTATAACAATTACGTATTTTAATAAGGATGATATATTAAATTCCTTAGGCGGATTGCAAAGATATCGAAATTTAGCAAAACTCACGTGTAATGATACTGAAATATTCAGCTTACCTACCTTACCCAACTTTTTAACGGAACTTGATTGCTCTGATACTACAATTACTTTCCTACCAACTTTACCAAACACTTTAAAAAAACTTAAGTGTTATAACACTGAAATAAATAGCTTACCAACTTTACCAAACTTCTTAATGACACTTAATTGTTCTTTTACTCAAATAACTATGCTACAAACTTTACCCAACTCTTTGACAAAACTCAAGTGTTATCTCACTAATATATCTATCTTACCAACCTTACCCAACTTTTTATTGATACTTGATTGCTCTGATACTCAAATAACTTCCCTACCAACTTTTCCAAATTCCTTGACAAAGCTCAAATGTTATAACACTGAAATAAATAGCTTACCAGCTTTACCGTACTCTTTAACGAAACTTTATTGCAATGATACTCAAATAACTGTTATACCAACCTTACCTAACTCTTTAACGAAACTTAATTGCTCGTATACCAACATAATTTTCCTACCAATCTTACCTAAGACTTTAACAAAACTTAAGTGTTATAATACTGAAATAGATATCTTATCAAATTTACCTGATTTTTTAACGACGCTTGGTTGTTCTGATACTCGAATATCTACCCTACCAACCTTACCTACCTCCTTAATAAAACTTAAATGCTGTAATACTCTAATACCTTATAAACCAATATTACCTGACTCCGTAACAAAATTCATGTATTATGAAAAAGATTCTGAAATAGATAGTTCACTCATTGAAATTGATGTATCTTCGATTATTTTTGAAAGACTTAGAAATAGACACCGTATCAATTTTGCAGAGTTTTAAGTCCGGTCTGTCCAGTAAAAGATCAGTCTTTCAGCCTGGACCAGACTGGACCGGGACTGGATATTTATATTTAGGAAATTTATCCTCACGATTGATTTAATTAAGGAAAAAGGTTTATAGATAGAAATGAATAAAAAATTGACATGTAGTAGATTTACAATAATTAAATAAAGAATTTTCATTTAAAAAATTCAAAAGTTTGATTTATCATGTAGCAATTTCAATACAACAATTTCGAGATTTTATAATTTTTATTACATATCAACTAACAAATACATTAAATGATCTATTAACAAATGGCTTCACTTCTGAATCCTACTATTTAAACACATCCAGCCAATTTCTCAATGGTGAAATTGCCAGTCCAGCTATCGAGAAAGCCTGCTCCGAAGCCACGCTTGTGGCTTTAATATACAAATAATCTCGTGCAATTCGACTTAAATTTGGGAATTCCTCTTGTCGAACTTGCCACTAGAGCAAGGGATCAACCTGTTCTTCTAATGGTATTGTTAAAGACCTTTCCATTTCATTATCAAGTGTCATAGATGCTAATGGAGCGGCATTTTTTAATAATTTAATGTAACGGTGTTGTTACGTAATTTTCAAAAAAAAATTTAAATATCATCTGATGTTGATTCTGCAAGTATTGGTGATGCTGAGGAAGAATTTTCAGTCAAATTTAATACTAAATTTTATATTTCTTTCGATTTCATTATCAAATGCAGAGTATTTGACTCTCATCTAATAATGAAGAAATTTGTGATGATTCACTCATAATCAGACAGTAATTACTTAATTTAATAAATCGCAACTGCCACTGTACACTGTGAAAAGCTTTCATCATTGATATATTGAGATAAGTACTTCTGAATACTTAAAAATACAAATCAAACATCACCACAAGGATGCTAAAAAGAAGCGGGTTGCACGTTCGATTGGACTCAAAAGATCCATAGTATCCTAATTTTAACTTACAATAATAATAACACGATCAACGATCAAGATCATCAGATGAACATTTGATATTTAAAAAAAAACTGAACCAAAATCCAAAATAAAAATAGATGAAACACAAAAATTTGGCTCATTTTTTAAAAATCATATGAATCGGTCCCGGTCTGGACCGGTTCTTAAATTTCGGACCGAAGATAGGGAAGTCCAAGACTGATACAGGACCAACCCTACCAATACATTGAATGTTTTAAAATAATATCTTTAATAAATAAAAGAAAGATAAGTTAGAACCAAAAATTAAAAGAAATTTATTATGGACAGATTTTTGACAAATTTAATTATTCATTAATCGATATGTTAAAAGAATTTTCCGAAGTTAAAACTTGTAATATAATATTTTAATAAACCATTCTGATCACAATTCAGATAATGCGTTATATTAATTCTGCAGCCTGTTCAGATCAGATAGATTTTACAAACACGTAAATCTCTCTTTTGATACCAAGTTTTAGTGATAAAGAAGAAGATATGACATATTTAGAAACTTCTCTAAATCCATTTGGACGAGGTCCAACAAATACATATGAATTGAAATCATAATTCTTACTTCAAACTCAGATTTCTTTTTATCCCATGTTGCACAATACCAGTCCAGTGAATTCCGATGAAGAATCCGGTCGAACTCAATGCTGTAGGATATAAATTCTGAACAATTATAGAAAGTTCAGGGTATAGTAAATTATTTTTTCATTTTATTAAAAGATTAGGTGATTG